AGTTTTTTGAGATGATATTTAGTTTTATTGTAGTTTTTATTTCATTTGTGTTTAAGTAGAATATTTCAATTATGTGATTTAATGAATTAATTGAACATCAAGCCCTTCTGTTTCTGTCCTAATGTAAGTTAACTGTGTCCTTAAACCACATATTGAACACACGAAATTGAACGTAAAATAAATCTCTGTCTAACTCTAAGAAATTACACCACAAATACATCCATTTTAGATTTATAGGTTATTGGCTTTAGACTGGAAGCTTAGTCAGGTGCATTTCATGAAGATTCATCTGTTTATTATAAATCAAATATAGTGTAAAATATATCTGATGCAGTTTGAAAACAGCTATCAAAGCTTTCAGCCAGCTCATTTTACACGTTTATTTCTCACAACAGATCCTGGACGTGCGTAATGTCATGGTGGTCGTGTCTAGGTGGTTCGGGGGCATTTTGTTAGGTCCCGATCGCTTCAAACACATCAACAACTGTGCTCGTAACATCCTGGTGGAGGAGGGATACACTGCCTCTACGGTGAGACACACTCTGAGCCTTTTACACATTGCTCTGTCATCTTCTGCTGACACATCATCAGTCAAATTTGACTTTGCTGCCAGTTTTCTGATGCAGGAGACCACCTGGTTTCTTGTAGTTTAATTGACTTACCACCCAGTGTTCCTCCAATTATCTGGAAACAAAGAGATTGACTGCAGGCGAGGTTTTGCCTTTCTGGCATCCAAAGCAGAGTCAGAATGCCAGGGTTGTACTGTTACACAGTATAGTTACAGTGAGACGTCAGTTTATTACAAAGTGTCTGGTTGCAACATGTTCTGGAGATCAAACACGCTTTCACCGGCCTGAAGTTAGGTCCAGTCTGCTTTGAAGTCGCCTTTGTGTTCTCCAAAGTTATTCCATTGATACATGATTGACCTTTGAGTGGCTGCAACAGATAGATTAAAGGTACTGCAAACCTACATTTTTAAAAGTTTGTCCTTCTTCCAAACCTCATCAACTCACTGTAAAAATCAGCACTTTATTTTATTCCAACTTATTAGAATTTGCTGCCTGTGGAAGGAGAACTTAACACTTCTGCAGAATCACTCCATTTCATGAAGTCTACTAAAACTTTGCATAAGAATTTAAGATGATTAGATTGGATTGAAAACAAACACTTTATTTTTAGAACATGTGAAATATGACTCAAAACTATTTTTTATGACATTCAAATAACTTAAGTCATTCAAACCTAACAAAAATCTAGAACAAGGGTCCTCCCACAGGCCAGTGCCAGAATTCATGAAAACTATACCGCTTTGTACTGTATTTCATTCGACCATTTCTATAGTAAGACACAGGAGTGGAGCATTGTAGACATTTGTCCATACATACTAAGCTTTTTTAATATTTCCAGATTTGGCTGGTGTGACGAAATGTAAGTCATCTTACTTACAGTTAAAAAAACAATTTTAACGGACAAATTGCAAATATAATTAAAATTAACACTTGCACTTTGAGACATGAAAGTAATGTCATACCATACATTTTTTAACACTAGTAATACACTACTGCTTTCAAACTGTGCCCTCTGAAACTCAAGCACCAGGTCATTATAACGATCTCTGTTCAGGTTGTACTGTGCTGCTAAACAGATACATTAAACCCAATAATGTATCTATTAGGCAGCACCAACTTGACACTCAGTTACCAAAGCTTTGAGGAGCCCTCATCTATATAAGGGAGGGACATGAATGCATTTAAGGAGGTTTCATCCTTGTTTTTAAAATTGGCTCTGTTTAAATTGAATTTAAAAAAAAAATATCAGCTTGAGTTTAACATTGTAGCCTCCTCAATATCTCGTACTGAGGTGTAATTTGTGATTACCTCATGAGCTCATATATGACATTCTTATTTTTCACTGTGCCTGAGTATTATTCAATCAGAATCAGAATCAGAATACTTTATTAATCCCGAAGGAAATTATAGGTTACAGCGCTAATGGCGCATGCGCACTTACAAAGAAACCTTCTGACCAAATTTTACACAAACATCACATTAGGAAGACATGTCAGAGAGGTAGGCTGATAGGAAAAAACAACAAAAATATATAACATGAGGTGAGAGGAGAAAAAAAAAAAACTCCACTCAGACTGAGCACCTAATGGGAGAACAGTTTGAGAACAGAAAAAATACCCCAGCACAAAAAGCACATGATTGTCAATAGACCATAGAAACACAAGACAGGCAACAGGGGCGGGTAAAGGTAAGCGAGAGCTGGTGTAGACAGTGCATCCGGTCCTCCAGCATGTCTGCGCTGGTCCAGTCAACCCGCCATCTGCCCCGGGAGGGAACAAGTATTGAGCCTCCTTTATGTTTTGAAGCCAGACTTTTCTGTAAGTAAATAGTTTTAAGGCTTTCCTGAGGTTTTTGAAAGTTTTCTTTTGAGTTTGACCATTTGTTTTTAGTTTCACCTACCTATGATTTGTTCAAACATAAAAGAGACACCAGTTTAAAGAGTGTTTACATATAACAGAAAATTTTAAATGATATCTTTAGGTGGTTTGTTGCTAGCAGCCTGTCACAAAACCACATATTTTTCCAGTTTCTTTAACTGAATCTATAAAAACAAATGCCATATTTAACAAAGACAGTGATTCCCAAAGAGCTGTTAGCCTGATAATTCTTTGGGAATCACTTGGCATGGTGTGCTGTGTGTCCTCAAAAAATTGAAGAAAGCTGGAGGATAAAAGTGGCAGGCCTAAAAAAAGATTTTTATTTTTATTTATTTTTTTAAATCAGATGAGCAGTAGCTGAAAGCCATTACGAAATAGGAAGAAATCCAGCAAAGACTTGACACAGGGCCTGAGAGATGCTTTGCTGAGGTCTCATCATCGACAGGGTGGCTGACAAGAAATTATTCTTAGGAAAAAGGAAGAAAAAGCTGAGATTCACCAAATTATAGAAGAACTCGACTGAACATCAGTGGCAACAAATTTTGTACATGTTTAAATCACTGTACCCATTTTGCATTTTCCTAGCAAAATGTAAAGAAATGAGGGACGATTTTTGCACAGCACTATATTTCACTAAATATGGAGAAATTTCACAAATGTCCCCTTGGCGGTAGGATGGATTGTTTAAGTCAGATTCATCTCAAAGACATGATGAATTTAAAAGAAATGTCACATTAACCTCAGAGTAGCCGGTTATTTTCTGTGCCGTGTGTACACCGGACACCGGAAAGCAATAAAGAGAGAAAACGAGGAGGTCTTCTCAGCTACAGCCTCATAACGTCCCTTAAACTGATAACTGTTAAGAATTTCCTGAGTCAAGCTTTAATGATGGGTTGATGTGTATGTAAAAAATACATTTAAAAAACAGGATCCGAACCCTTGAGGCACACACTTATTTAATTTCGTCTAGGAAGATATGTTGGTGGAAATCTGGAACTTTTTATTCTTTGAGGAGGAAACAGTCAGTCCCTGAAATCAGTGTCCCAGGGCTCCTTCTTAACAGTGTACAGCCTTTACAAAAGTCAGCATACTTACCCAACAACCAATGAGACAATATCGAATGGGAGAAAATCATTTTTGGTAAGGTGAGTGAGATCAGTTTTGCAAAAGCTAAATCCAAAATTGCATAAAGTCTCTGAATACCTGGATAGGATTTGATTTATGAGAAAAAGAGTCTACAGTTTAGAGGGGGAAAAAGAGCTGAATCAGTCTCACACCTGAGGAGGAACAGGTCACTGCCGGTTACTTTGCAGTATATGAGTCACTTATTAAAAATGGTATCAAAGCAATTTCCTGCTGTATGAAGCTCTACGCCAATATGAAAAACAAACTCAGACAAAATTGATGATCAAGACAGACTCAATGAACATTTGTTCACCCTGTACTATGTAACAGAGGTTTCAGAGTTCTCTACAAGTTGGCAGTCTGGATTGCCAGACTAATAATTAGCAGAGGATGTTTCCTAAAAGTACTTAGGATGGCAATGTTTTGTTTGATGCAATTACAGGAATACATTAAAACAGCATGGTGCATGTCAATCAGTACATTGCAATTTGCACATTTGCAAACACAGCAGGAGTTTTAGGCAAAAGAGTTTATCATGAGCTGTAAAGAAGCACTCAGATATTAAGCACGGAAAAAGCTCTGGCACCATTAAATAGAGTGCTAATGTAACACAATCATTCTTTCTCTAATCCTCCCCTCTTGGTTCACAGGATGAGGCCAACAAATCAGGACTAAAGACCAAAAGGCCAAAAGGCAAGAAGACAAAGTGAATTTCAGAAGAAAAATGAAGAACTTTTTTCAAGCACACGTTCAGTATTTGATGTCGAATTCAACGAAAAGCTCGTTTTTAGAAAGAGATGTGAGATGTGTCTTAGAAGACAAATGGTTTCTAGCAATTTAGTTTTCATTCAAGGTCATAAAATATCATCTGGGATTTCAAAATGACGTCTCAGATAACTGCTTTAACTCTGGAATGTATATTTTTATATTTAGTTTAAGAAGCCTCGAAATAAAATGTGTACAGTTCACATTTCATTAAAACAAATTATGGGGATTTGTGCAATGATCATGACTTTGAATGTACCCCACATCTGAAGATTGTTGATCCACGTCTGAAGAATACGCCAGTATTTTTAAATCCTCGAATTACTAATTTTTTTTCTTGTCTGCATGCACTCCCAGTATTTTTAAAATTGTAATGCTCCATCATGATGGAGATACAGTAACGAGGTTGTCCCTGCAAGCCTTAATTCATTTCCCTGTTGAATCTGCATCTCAATAGCGATCTTTCACAAATCATTTCATCGTTCCCAAGAAATGCGATCATACATCACTGCTTAATAAAATGGAGTTTACTGAGTTGCAACACAGTCCACGTCCATTTTCTCCAGTGCATTTGGCACACACTTCTAGCCTGTTAAATAGACATCCTTTTCACATTTTGAATGTCTTTCAGAGCATTTACCACTCATTCCCTCCTGTGAGATTTTGTCTCACCTCACCTTTTTGTGTCACTCGATCTCTGGAAAGACATTCTGCATATTAATGCTTTGAAGTGGGTTTTAAGCACCAAAGGACCACTATCTAAATATATCCAAGTCTCATACAGGCACTTTTTAATTTGGTTCCACCAGCAGAACCTGACTATTATGATGCAAAAAAAAAAAATTATCTGCGCTCATTATCTTCAGAAAATATAACTGATAGCATACAAATGTAGAGAGATATTTTGATTGAATGAAAGCGCAAATGATAACACATTTTAGAAAAATTTCCTCCAAGTCTGTTTACAAAGCCGCCTGCTCATTTCAGCCATTAGAAATAATTACAGCTAATTCACTTAGCAGAGTTGTTTCTCCCTGACAAGCTGTCATCACGCTGAACCCAATCATCTCAGCCCTTAATCATGTTTTTCAGGGGCTTGCAAAGAACTCAATTTCATACTCAAGGCTGAGGAGAATAATTAGAGCGCTTGGTTTCAAATTTCATCTGCACAGTCCGTACCGATACTGCCACGGAAGCCTGTTAGGCCATTGTTTCAGTAACTGCCCAAAAACATTCAGGGCAGATCATATATTTTTGCACACTGTCACGTTATGTTTCAAGCTGAGGTTGTATAATGAATCTGGTTTATCTGAAGTGGTCGGACAAAAGTATTCACCATTGAGGAATTGCAGCCATTTTTGGTACATTTTAGGTCTGGGGTATTTCTTTATGAACTGAGCTTGGCAAAAGATTTGAAGTGGAGCATTTGGAAGCTGTGAACATACAACAGACAGATGAGCTCAAAGGAATCCATCACAGAAAGAGATAACAGGAACATTTGGATTGGCAATTTGGTAAATTTGTAGAAACCCTGTACAATGTCTATCAAAGTGACAACCACTCTCCAAATGAAAAGCAATACCATTGCTCACAAGAAGAATTGCAGATATTTTATCACAAGGTGCCAAAGAGTCATCATCTTAGAGAATAGGAAAGACAGATTAGAGTTAAATAAAACGCATCTTAAAATAAAAGGTAAAGCTGTCAGAGCAGGGCATGCTTGACATCAAATTGCACTGGGTCAGTAGTGTTTACTGATGATGTGCCAGAAGCGGCGAGAAATCTGAAGAGCTATAATTTTTGCTCTCTTCAGCAAAACTGTCTTGACTGCATGTCATAGTAGCAAATGCAGTAAAAAGGGAGAAAATCCATTGTTTGGTGATGCCTTTAGCTTCCAGACGGTAAGCAATCAATGTCAAGGGTCCTTAACTGGGAAAGGTTTAGGAATAAACACTTTGTTATTATGCTAATTTGTCTTATTGCACCTAAGCTCCTGAAAACACAAGATTGTATAAATATGGAGTTCCTTATGAGTTAATGCTGTATTTTTGTTCAACACCTGTTGCTGAGATGAGAGTCGGTGTTTTAACCCCATATTCATCATATAACTGTAACTTGAACATGTTTTTACAGCCAAAAACCATTAATTTCATAAATGATGAAAAATATATGTGGACTTAGCACCACTCGTTCGATTAAGGTGTAAGACAAAGTTTGTCACCCCAGAGTTCTCAGTATTTTTTAAAAAAAATGATGATTATTGACTAAATCAAATTGTTAAATATTTATATATATATTTTAAAAAAGCTCATAAAAGTTTCATATAAAGTTTCAATTCCTCATTTTTTAATGACAGATGTTGCAAAAAACTTAAAGACACCCTGAAAACTTTTCACTGATGATGTGCAGATGTAGCCTACAACTCATATTTTCTGATGGGTCTGGTTTTCACATAGCAAACAGTCTTAGGCTCATAAAATGGACAGTCTTCTTCTTCTTTCTTCCTTCCTTTTTTTTTTTTTTACTAAAATGACCAAGAGGTATGGCAGCCATGATAAGAGCTGGTCAATTTCCTTAAATTAAAAGCGCTTCAATTTCGCTTTTCTCCTTATCTTAATAAACATAAGACAAATTTCCTGTACAAGAAAGGGAGATAATGCCATCCTATAATTCTTTGGCAGCTTTGTCATAATTTTTTTGTTACTGGCAGGATATTTTTAAATAAATCAATCTCCATGTCTTTTCTCTAATGCCACGGCATTTGTTACTGAGGTTAAGTAATGGTGTATAGCAAAAGATGCAGGATGTTAATTTTTCTTTAGGCTTTCCAACCTTACTTCAAGAGTATCACATATATTATTAAAGAGAAAAAGGATCACAAACTCAGAGTAATGACATTATCCAATAAAAACAAATGCACTTATAAAAACAAGAGTGATTATTTGATAACAGAAGATATTGTTTTCCCCCTTTATGTGATATTTTGGGACTCGTTAAGAACAATCTCATCCCCAGTATCAGAAGGCTGACAGCTCATTTCAGAAAACAAACGGATTTTTCCGTTTGTGCCCGTATTTGTGTTCTGATATTAGTCTGGGTACCCTGTGTTTAATAAGAGGGGCTATTTGCATAGCTAAGTCAGTAGTAATTTTAGATAATTACGTATTTTCTTCGCGAAATAAAGGGATGGGGGGGGGATAATATGGTAATTCACACTGGACATTGGCCTCTGAGTCACGGAACTTGTTGCTTTGTGTAAATATCTGCTGGCTGGCTTATTGCGATATCCTGTTGCATAAAGCTCAGATCGTTTCATCTCAGCCTGCTTCATGCGCCTGGAGCACTTCAGCTTTTGATTGCAGACATGAGCCTTTGATCAGCTGTTGGGTGGGCAAAAAAAAAAAGCAAATCGTCCAAAATAGCAAACATCGTCTGAAAAAGGCCGGAATTTGTTTTGTTTTCAAAATAAAAGTTTAAGAATTCGTCACATCTGTTGGAAAACATACAAGAAGGACGTTTTATAGAGAATTTTATATTTTAATCCGACAGCCAACAATAATATTGTTATGTCTTAAAGGGGGTGTTAAACGGGGCAATTGTTTTAAATGCCTTCTTATTTAGGTTGCTCATTAAGCTGCATGCTGGCTGTCATTTTTATATTTTCTGCCGACGGCAGAACATCAAATGTAACTTGTCACATTAAATGTGCATCTTGAAAACAGATTTAGAAAACACCGATGCGCCTTATTCGTCTTGAAACCTTACAGGACTGGTTTTATTTTGAAAAACATCCGGATTAAGTACTTTATCTCACATCTGGTCAGTACTGACGCTGTTAACAAAACCAACGGTGCGCTCCGCAGTATCAGCACATCCAGCATCAGCTGAGATTGTAGATGACAGAGTCCAGAAAGGAGAGAGGACCCAGAGGAACAATAATCATTATTAGTATTACTATTACAGAGTGTTCTTAACTCGTGTCTGTAGCTCGGAGACTTATTCTAGTGTTTTAAGAAATGGAAGATTTGGGAAAAGTCTTCAACGATTCACAGGTCTTCGTGTTTAACTTGTCTTCATGAAGTGGAGCGGGACGTTTAGGCGCGTTTTTGGACTTCTCCGGTGTTTCTGTGCGTGAGATGAAAAAACCCTACAATGATTTTGGCAGTCAATTAATTATGGGCGCGCACATCCTGGAGTCCAACTCCAGCGGCAACTTGACGCCTGCGGTGTCGGAAGCTGGGGCTGTCCTGCCGGGCTACCTGGTGGTGATCTTATCGGTACTTATGGTGACTCTGGTTGTCGTTGTTGTGGCAGGGAACGCACTGGTCATCATGGCTTTTATTGTGGACAAAACCCTGAGAAATCAAAGCAACTACTTCTTTTTGAACCTTGCTATATCCGATTTTCTAGTGGGTAAGTTCTCCTTCTTTGTCACTTTATCCGTTCGTGTTGCCTGAGTCCATTCTTATGAATGAAACCCTTTTTTTGCGCGCGCCCCAAGCACATTGTAATTTTCCCACACTGTAATTAGCGTCTAACTATTGATTAGCGGCGAGTTCATGATGACCTTTACAACCCTTTTGCGTTATTCACATGTTAAATTACAACGGACTACTCCGCGTAATTGTGGAATGCCTCCGTTTTATTGAAAAGCACTCACGTCCCTCTTATAGTGAAAGCTCCTCTTATCTACAGCTTTAGTTAAATTATACCCTTGTCATTAATGAAAGAGACATATTAGATTGTTCTTGTTCCTACAATGTCACAGGTTTCCTGGAACTGCGTCTTGTCGCTAATTTTCTGCCGCATGTAATGCATCTTACACCCAGAAACTGTGAAGGTATGGGAAAGTGTGAATATTGATGCTGGTGGCTGGTGAATCACCAATGTGATGTGTGTTTTGTGTGTGTGTGTGTGTGTGTGTGTTTCAGGTGCCTTTTGCATCCCGGTGTACATCCCCTATAACCTGACCGGCAGGTGGATGCTGGGCAAAGGGCTCTGCAAAGTGTGGCTGGTCATGGATTACCTCCTTTGCTCAGCCTCTGTCTTCAACATTGTCCTTATTAGTTATGATCGCTTCCTGTCAGTCACAAGAGCGGTAAGTACAGTCTGTGTGGTAATGAGACGCTCATTACCACACACACATACACACACGCTCATCAAGTTCACATAGGTGACCACATTTAGGTCCAAAATGTGTCACTCCCTGAAATAGCTTGTAGTGTGCTTAGAATCATTTGTATTCACAGCTTCGTTCTTTCACCAGGGTATTGCTGTGAAGTGAGTGCTTTGTTCATCAGCTTAGCCAAAATATTATCAGTGCAAAAATTAGCCCTGGCTCAACAGTCAAATAAACTATATATTCCATCACACAGCTCAGTTTTCTCATCACTTTTCAGATTTATCCTGTGAAAACAGCTGCAGAATGTCTTCTCTGGATCTCCAGGGGGTTAAATAACAGTCAATATGTCACAGTGATGTCACTGGGGTCATCATGGTTTTGTGATTGGGTTTTTGTTTTTTGTTTTTTTAGTTTTTTTTCAGGGGGTGTAAGAAGCAGGGTGAGTCAGAGATGTGTTAGCGTGCATGAGTAGGCACTAATGCTCAATCTTAAAGCTAGAAGTAAAGGGAAAGTTCACCCTAAAATCAAATTATTACAGCCTGTTGTGACAGTTACGTTGGTATGAGCCGCTCAGTTTTGGTGATAGTAGCTATAGAGAATCTGCCTTCTGTTGGAAAACAATGGAACTAAATGTGTAATTAAAAATATTATTAAAAATCAGTGACCAAAAAAACCCACAAACATTGTGAGCAGTTTTATTGTTAGCTAAACGAAGACTTGTTTTGCTGCTCATCATATCATGTTGTGTTATATTCAAGAGAAAACAGGCAACTCTATAGGGATATCATAACAGTCTAGATGAATACAGGCAACTAACTAGTGAACTGTCCCTTTAACTCTTTCTCAAATAAAGACAACACATAAAGATAACATTTGACGACTAAATGAAGAGATTTGATACTTCAGTATTTGTTATTAAAGTGTGGTTTGACGAATATTAGAATAGTTTCTGGATTTTTCCAAGGGTAGCATCTGTGACAGAGCCCAAACTCACTCACTTCTGATGCAAACACAGTCATTTTAATCTAAGCAGGCTTGAAATATGACAAAAACCTCTTAAGTATATTTCACAGTCTGCTGCTTTGATCTTTGATCATTCTTTTCAGTTTTTGGCAGTTTTTTCAGTTTTTCCCTACATTTTGTACAAGATGAGTAATTCTTCTGTTGCTCTAAAAGAGTCATTGACTTTAATCATGGTTGGAAAATAGCCAGTATTAGATATAAAAGCAAAAGAAATATTTGTAAAACCTAAATATTTCAATGTGAATATTTGTATCCTCTTGCAGTCTCTTATTTTTAATTTATTAAAACTGTTAACTTTCTGTCAACTGATACAAGATTTACAAAAAAGAAAATCTGGCTGATGATTGGTTCGACTGCCTATTGGTCAGTTTCTTCACATTCAGCCTGTAGGGTGCAGTATTTCTTTAATTTACAGTGGAAATAGGGAGTCTTGTGCTTTTGTAGTGAACACTTGAAACTGGGGCCATAATTATTTATGAGCATCTTGTATTGGATCTGTTTCACTACTGATTTTTTTTTCCAGTTGCTCTTGAACCACAGACATGCTGGCAGCTTCACTTGCTTCACTTGACATATATCCAGCTGTTGAATCTGCAGAGAGACATTCTGATTGTGTGAGAAAAAGAAAAGATTGAGAAAACAACAACAACACCAAAGGGGAGAGCAGCAGATAGAGAAGCCCTGCAAAATGATAGCATTTAGACCGAGAGGAGGTGAAGTGAAAATGGAGTGAAAGCAAAGAGAATAAGCGACGGTGAGGGAGGGGTAGATCGGGAGAAACCAGATGTCTCTTTCATACTAGTGTTGCATCAGTGAATGTGGCTGTCAGCCTGACATTCCCCTTCTCTCTTTGGCTTCAGAGACACACCGTGGTATAAAAACTCCACGAGTGGGTTTTATTTACAGCATCTCTCTCCTGCTCCAAAGCCGCACAATGCAACAAGGGGTTCATTTGGGGAAGATACTCTGAGCAGCTGTGGGTGTTTGAAATGTAACGTGCAGTGTTATTATGATGCAGAGTTTCTGTTCACGGCACATCACTGTGAGTCATACTTGTGCCTCTCTTCTGACACAGGTTAAATACAGAGCTCAGAGGAACATGACCCACCAGGCTGTTTTCAAGATGGTGGCGGTGTGGGTGCTGGCCTTCCTCCTTTACGGCCCTGCCATCATCTTCTGGGAAACGATCGTTGGCTACAGCATTGTCCCGGCCCACGAGTGCTATGCTGAGTTTTATTTCACCTGGTACTTCCTGCTGAGTGCGTCTACCTTTGAGTTCTTCACCCCGTTTGTGTCGGTGGCCTTTTTCAACCTCAGCATCTATCTCAACATCCATCGCAGGAATAAGAGTGGGGCCGCCTGTGCTGAAGACAATGCCAAGCCTCAGAAGAACAATGAGAAACATAAAGATGGAGCCGGCTGGTCCGTGTTTTTTGTCAAGACTCGGAAGGTGATGTCAAGCGAGCCTGTCGCGATCTCTGCGGTCATCGAAGATGACGACATCTTGTCTCCCTCCTCCAGCGGGGAGCCTAACGCCAGTCAGATATTAATGCAGCGAGAGAAGTTCTCTCCGCACAGAAAAAACTCCAGGTTGTTTCAGCACACGGCCTCCTGCATGGTGCCTGGCCGTAGGACACCGGGATCTCGGCTTTCCAGAGACAAAAAGATTGCTAAATCTTTAGCCATTATAGTCTGCATTTTTGGGATATGCTGGGCTCCGTACACTCTACTGATGATTATCCGTGCCGCCTGTAGCGGTAAATGTGTGGCGAACTACTGGTACGAGATTACCTTCTGGCTTCTGTGGCTGAACTCTGCCATCAACCCGTTCTTGTACCCTGTGTGCCACAGCAGCTTTCGAAGGGCTTTCTCAAAGATACTGTGCCCTAAAAGACAATCAGTTCAACCACAGATTGAAGTTCAGTCTTGTTAGATGAACTCAAATGAACTTGCATATTTTATGAATGGAGTAAATGTTGCTGAACACTGTAAAAAATCCATTTGATGTTCTTCTATAAAAAAAAAGGCCAGTTTTCAAAAATTAGTTAAATGTTTGCATTTAAATGAGGATTGTAACATACCTGACAGCAATACGATGACACAACACAGCTGAAAATAGCACAACATAATATTCTTATGGGCAGAACAATAGACTCTTGTAGTACCATTGGATAAATCTGCCCACGATTAAACCACCTCTCAAAGCCAGTTTCAGATTTTTCTAATGTTGTTCTTGTTCATTTTAAAACCTTAACACATTCCCTCTAAGTAGGACATTAAGTTCTTTATGTGCAGAAGGCTGTGAAATGATGGCATATGCAGTCTTAAAGAAGGTAATTACCATAATTTAGTCTAAGATATCACACATATATGAGAACTACTGATCACCAGGTTGTTAAATTGTTTTCTGTCTGAATGGAAGCATGACGCAGACAGAAATGACATCTTCACCCAGCATCCAATTTCATAGCGGCCGCCGTGAGAACATTTCAACTTCTATTTAGATGAAGCTGATGTGAAGCATGAACTCAATGGTCTTTTGATGGTTTCAGAATATATCTGCACATGAAACCCTTTCATGTTACAGTTTCAAATATACAGCTGCAAGTTTGACTTTATGCTCACTTTATGCTCATGCCCCTAAAAACTATACAATGCAAATCATGCAGCGATAGACTCACAAATGCAGAGTCCTCCACGTTTAAAGCACCAGAAAAGAAGACAAGAGTGTGCTTACTGACCAATGAGTGTACTTTTATCAAAGTAATTCTAAATATTTTATAGTTTTAATCTTATGGCAAGGAAATCTACCTGACATCTGTCAAAATGTTAAGAAAATGTCAAAGCAAAATGTGAAGCACAATGAAAAGAGAGCTGATTTAAAACTTATGTACAATAAGATCAATGTCAGGCCAGATGGCTGAGTTAATTATTTATTTCAAGGCTCGACTGGTTTACCTAAAGCTGTTTTCACACATGCAGTGCAGTCTTGAATTTTTGCCGAAAGGTACATGCAAGGACTTGCTTGTAAGACTCAGTGGAACATTAAACAGTTTTTCCTTGATGCAAAGCCTGCGTGATGTCTGACTGAGCTCATGTGCGAGCAGAAAAACGAATCGTCCAGCGAATTCATGATTCAGGGAATCATCGTGTTCTGCCTCCCTCTCGCTGAACACAGACAGCTCGCCTGCCTTAACCAAACAAAGTATTTCCAGGAGTGAGAAAGAGTCTGACTGTCTCCTGTTGTGTTCTACAAAGGAGAAAGAACACTTTTGAATAATAATATGACCTGATTCTCCCAACATAGTGCAGACATGTGAAAACCGCATATTTGATTACTTTGTGTATTGGTTATGAATCTGTGCAGCTGTAAGTCAGATGAAAAAAATAAAATAAAATAAAAGAAGACTGCCAACAGGCTTTTTTCCACTGTATGTTATTGGTAAAATCTGGAGGAGTAGTTACATCTATAACCTACTTTGTTGTCAAGGGTTAGATGTGAACACTGCTTTTCTTCTGGTCTCTTACTGTTTTTCTTTTTTCCCCCACATCAGCTTTGATATGAAACCTTTCTTTCATTCATCCAGAGTCTGTCTCTGGAGACAAAACATCCATCTCTCAGTTCCTGCAGCCCGAGTCACTCTTTTTATTTTTCAAAGAAAAGCCATCATCACTCCTGAGGGAAAAGTAAACTTTCTGGTGTCCAACTGAGACAACTTGTTCAGTCATGAGACTATTTTTCTCTTTTAATGGAGTCTTGCTATTTTGTCCACTTGGCACCTCTGTTTCTTTCCTTCCATCTTTCTTCTTTTCTTTAATTCTCTCTGCTTTTTTCCTAAACAGGTCTGGGTCAAACATATATTCCTTAACTAGTTGCTGAAAATTTCTGTCTGTCATTTGTTGAAATCAGTCACAATGAAGGTGCAACACCGAAAACCTTGCTGCAATTGCTTCGATTGCTAGAATATCACCATGGGGTTTCCATGTAAGACATGGACTAACCTGCAACACTCACCAAATGCAAAAAAACTCCAGGCGACCAAATCAATCTGCCAAAAACCACAGCGATTGGCATGGTTTTTGGTGTATTCCACAGCAAGAAGGTCTAATTCAATTTTATTTATATAGTGCCAAATCACAACAAAGCGGAAGAAATATATATAAAAAACAAGAATATATATATAAATATATAATTTATATATATATATATATATTTTATATATATATATATATATATATATATAATATATATAAACAGTCCAACCGGTACCGGTCCGTGAGTCGTTTGGTACCGGGCCGCGAGAGTTGAGGCTCAGGTGTGAAATGTTGGTTTTCAGGGTTTTTATCGGTTTTCAGCTTATTTTGTTATCGTTTTTATCGTTAACTCGGTTTTCCTGGGTCTTTTCACGTGTGTTATGAATAAATCTTTTTTTCGGTACCGGTACTAGTTTTATTTTGTTGTATTTATCCGCGACACCTTAAAGGCCGGTCCGTGAAAATATTGTCGGGCATAAACTGGTCCGTGGCGCAAAAAAGGTTGGAGACCGCTGTCATAATACATAAAAGTAGTTAACAACGCATAACGGATAAAAATGTATCAACGCACACCAAATATTAGCTAGTTGGAAAAGCAAGATTAAATAAACAAGTCTTTAACCATGATTTAAACAATGGCATAGAGTCAGACGCCCGGATAGCAACAGGAAGATTGTTCCATAAGACTATGGAAAAAACAGAACAGTGAGTTCTTCTCTTAGTTTGTGCTCAAAATTGTAATTCTGCACACAAAGCCTAGTGAATGAGGGCTGCGAATTCCATCACTTAACTGAAAGTCACCACTTAACACTAAATCCCTTATTTATGATTTCAGGTAGTCACTCCATTGACCTAACCTGACTACTGAAATGACTCTCATAAAACTATAGTTATTATTTGTACATTTTGTACTGAAGTATAATGGATTAAGCTGGAACCTTCAGAGCCTCTGTTTTCTGTTTCAGACTGAATGGTGTCAAGTGCCTCTTGGTACTTCCAGAAATGTCATACTACTTCTCTGAGTGTTTCACGATTGGTTAAAGGTTTATAATTGTTTCTGGCTCCTGTGAGATGGGATATGGTATGACAGATGTTAGCTGGTGTGAATGGGTGGAAAGCATTCTTGTCTTTTTATGTTGCTGGTAGCTGTTGTCTGTGTTTGATTCACACCTGCCAAAAAAAAGAAAAAAAAACTTTGCAGGAAAAAAGTGAGTTTTCTGTTTTGAAGATTGCTGTCAAGCTCTCATTTTATCTAGCAGCAAACACACAGTGTATGACAGAAGTGGCATTGACTTAAAAATTTTCACCACAGATGAACATGATCAAAATATATCCAGAAAACTCTCTGGGGGCTGTCAGAAAAATAAAGGAAGTAACAGTATCGCTTTCCCCTGTGGGAATAACATGGGACATTTTACTTAGGAGGAAAGACCCTTGGAGACTGTTTAGCCTTGAGGATACACACAGAATTTATTGCACTGAAAGAAGAATCTTTGGATGATGCTGTTTTGTATCTTTCTGCCGTGCCTTATCGGCAACAACAAATTTAATTTGATGTCCAAAAGGTCACACGAAAGTCATAGCCCTACAGAAGCAGCTGTATAAATCATACAGTTTGTTGCCGTTCTGCAACATCTCAGTTAAACTCTGGAACAGCTCATATGATTAAACTTCCTGTCTCTGCATCTTGTTTTGAATACAGCCCAAAGCATTAAGTGGCTTAAAAAAAAAGACCCTGCAGAAAAAAAAGCTGTTTCCTCTTGGGCAAACTGGATAAATAGATTGTGGTGGTGTTGTTTTCCCACTGACCCTATTTAATAATAGTCATTTAAATGCAGTGGTTACTGTGGGTGCATGGATACACATTTTGTGCCTGTGAAAACCACAGCTCAAGAGTGAAAATGCTTTTGCTAAACAGATCCAAAAAATCTGAGACCCATGAGGCACGACTGTCATCTGTGTGTCTCAGAATTCAAGAATAGAAACGGACTAGTCGAGGAGTACAAGAGACTTTTTCCCCTCGGCCAAAAACAGGAGTCAATTTGGAAGCATTTCATAAAAGGTCAGTCGAGAATGAGATGAATTGGCAGTGGTTTAGGTGACTTGCACAGAGACGCAGGTGGACTTGCAAATAGAAACCAAATTGCTCAGTGCCAGTGTTGACATCGTTTCTATGCGCTGTGGGAAGCCCAAGAACCAATGAAACAGCCTTTCAAAAAGAAAAATTGGAAGCAGTTGCCATCCTTCTGGTTCATGTTGGGGTTGCTCTGGGATTCAAATATGGCGGCGGTAATTGTTAGTGAAACACATATCTGGTGAACAAAACAGATGAGATCCTTGGGGCTGAAGACAGAATGCAGACCCCTTCTTTTTTGTTCGTTTTGCTTTTGTTTGAGAGAAATGTGAGACGTGGGAGTGAAAAAGCGGTGGCTGCTGTTAACCGGACAACATATGTTTGGTGGATGATAAGCTACATGCAAAACCAAGTCGTTTAAAGAATGTAAAAGAAACACGTCCTTTGAGTGTATTTCACTGACTCTGAATGCAGCCTCTAGCTGAGCTCGCTCTTTTGATTTCAAGTCACTATGAATATTTACAGTTAGAGCTGAGGAGTCTGTCCTGAAAGAACTGGTGGCTTATAGAAGCTATATTTGATGCTCTGTTGTCCAAGAAAGCGATTTAAAAATCAATTTAATTCAGGATATGAACACTGGCTGCAAGGAGATGATTTTCCATTAGTTTTTTACTGTATAGAGTACACTCTACCACAGTGAAGCCTGCCTGAGTAATGAAGAAAGAGCATCCTGTCTGATGCTGATGACTCCTTAACGGGACTCACACAACATGGAATAATTGTTTATGGTGAAGATGTGGATAAAAGCATCCAGCGGCTCATGCTCATTGAGATCAATGGAAAAACAAGCATTTACTCTGCCAGAGCTCTTAATTAACCCACATGCCCTACACATGATAATTGCTTTCAGGGAAACAATCTACAGATGGCTTTCACCACAAGAGTTCTATCAGCTATTCCTTAATTTCAGCACTGCATTAATATGTATCTGTTATGTTGCTAATTGCTGCCAGCCACTTGTCTATAGGATCAGCACTGTTGCTATTAAACTAAAATAAAACTTTAAAAACAGGTTCCTAAAAATTTGGTGGTATATGCATTCACAATGTTTACATGAAATAACCACCAGTGACCAATCATCCAATCACAGTTGCAGAAATCAGCAGTCCAAAAGCTTGGCAGAGAAGGTATGTTTTTAGAAAAATAGTTACAGCTGATGCTTGTCTGAGGTCACTTGGGAGGTCCTTGCAGAATTTTGGTGCAACAGCAAAGGTACAACCCTATTTTGAAATAATCTTTAAACCTGGGATGATAAGGAGTGGTTTAGAAGCACTTTATGCTGGATTCTGTAATGCACCAGAGTCAGTATAAGGCTAACTCTGGAGTATTTTGACCTCTCCAATTTTCCCCTGAATTAGTAATCAGCATTTTATACAAATTTTAAACCGACAAGAGATGATGATGATCGAGTATACACTGCATTGCATGGTTACATTTTAGATACAACAAAGGCGTGCATAACCGAATTATAATCCAGATCTAAAGGTGTAAAAAACTTTTTTAGGACATTATTCAAAGCTGGAAGTAAGATTATAATTTGGGATTTCAGAAAATCCCAAATGTTTTAAGGAACCTTGTAGAGCAGATTTACCAGTTGCATGGCTTTTCCTTGTCTGCTGTAATTAGTGACATCTTGTCAGCCTGAGGGGCAGCCAGTGAAAGGACACAGACAGGAAATGTCCCGCTTGTCTTCTTGTTGACACTGGGCGGTTTCATGGAAAAAACTGTCACGGGTCATGAGCCTTTTCTTAACAACATTTTCATTCATATTCCCACAACATTTAAACAAGACTCTGTAGGTATGCCGGGCAGTTGCCCTTTAGGAAAACGAAGGTCAACATGGAATGTAAAAAATTGCAGTTTTTATAGTGACCACATGAAGCACCAAAGTCTAAAAAAGTGATATCTGTAAGAAGTGGACTTCATTGATTTAAAATGACCAGCAGGATTTTGCCTTCCACCTTTCTTCTCCATGGGGAGCTTCCTCTACCTGTAACCTGGATCTTATACTCAAGTGCTTCTACGATTACTGTGGCAGTTTTAGTTATGAGCTCACTGGCAGTGGGAATCCAGTGTTCACATTTGCATTTCCTCTGATGAGACTCAGGGCCGCAATCTTCATCTTCACCTTAGTAGATATATGTGTCATTGCTGGTGGCTGGATATCGTCTAAACTTGACACACACACACACACACACACACACACACACACACACACACACACACACACACACACACACGAAAGAAGAATCGGTTCTTGTAGAAAACTGTTTTCTAGTAGTCCAGTTTCTTGTTAGTCTGCCTGCCTATCAGTCTTGTTTATCTGTTTGTGTGTTGGAGGAGGAAAATAGTGAAGTGGGAAACTGCATCCAGGACAGAAACAATTGCATTATGCTGCTAACACAACTTCGGTTCTTTGCAAGCATCTGCCAAGACAGCATGCTAACGCTATGCTAGCCAATAACCCAGAGTGAAAACTGAGTGAATGTCACCCTAGTAGCCAAACCCTGAAGTTTAACAGGTAACATGCAGCCTCCCTTTCTACCTGTTCACGTATCTAAAGCAGAATCACTGTGGTGACCACTTTTTTTCGTCTTTGCTTTGTGCGGCCAGCTTTGTGTTCTACTAAGAGAAAGATCTTAGCCGTGTGTCCACATTAGGGATTTGTGTTGGTGTGCAGGGTTGTAGCCTCAGGTTTATATTGTTAAATGGTGCCTGTGAGAGTGTGTTTCAGCTATTTTACAGAGTAACATGAAAATAATGTAACGAGTAGTATAATTAATTATAATGAATCAATTTAGTTAGTGTTCTGTGTAATAATGTCTTTTTTGAGTAACATCTCCAACACCGATCACAAAAAAAA